GGGGGACGCCGGAGTTGGGGAAGCATTAGTGATGGAGTGGGTAGATTCAACCCGTGGCCAACTGTGGGAACGGTGGAGAGAGGAATCAGAGTGACAGGATGTGATGTGGCAACTAGCCAAGAGTCAGTCGTGTGATGAGTTGCAGAAGTGTTAGTATCAAAGCAGGAAATGTGTTTTCAACAAAAGCAACATGGCGAGACACAAAGACACATTGTGTAGTGGGATCAAAGCATTTGTAATCACTTTGTTTAGGCCAGCATTTCCAAGGTTTGAAATCGATTAAAATGTTTAAGCATCAGTCTAACAAGTCAAATTAGAGTGTGGCCTTACGGGTCAATAGCTTCTTTCTCTCAAGTGCGGATAGTTGTCTCATTGGTATTGTCGTTAAGCGCGCCCTTCCCAGATCTAGGTGCCTATTGGGCATTATTTGATTGATTGGGGTCGAGAGTGAGTAATTGCGCTTTTTGCGTAATCTGGTTTATTGGATTACCGATCAGGCCATCCTTTGGCTTATCAGGGCTAATAAGAAGTATACTTATAATTTATGGTATCAGTGGTAGTTGGTTGAAACTTAGTATTTCATCAGGTAGCCAAAATTGAGTAGTGAGTGCATTTATTGAGTGTCTTTTACATTGATGTTAGCATCTTTAAAAAAATACATTGATGTTAGGAACCGCCAGAGACTTATTTATTCGAATGTGTATGACTATGTGATTTAAACTCTTTTTTTTATTTATATTCAAATTATTTACACATTCTCTAACATTAATTAATCCTTATGTCACACAATTAGAGATACATTAGTTGGGGCTCCTACTTTAGAGCACAAAAATAGGAATTTAGAGGAATTCAAAAAACATTCGTGAATTGATATAATGACAAGCATACATATTGATATGGTGGATGAGAGAAAGTATGAAAAATAATTGATGACAATATAAGCTCTCTGCTGGGTTCAGGCTTATTAATTGTCAATCACCAGTGATCGACTATGACTCTGGGGTTGTTTGAATGAGGGATTTCACTCAAATTCCTCATTCTGCCGGATTTCCGCCAAATTCCTTGTTTGGCAATGACATTAAAAACGAGAGATTTTAAGACGTAGGAATTTTAAAATTCTGCACTTTCGGGATTTCAAAATAGCTGATCACCCCCAGAAATTTTGAAATCCCTCATTTTATTTTGTTAACTTCCAAACCTGTCCCTACGCTTCTTCCTCTCCCCTCTTCTTCTCAGATGGCCGTGCACTACTTCTCCCACCTCGCTGCCATGAATTTGGACATCAAGGAACCCTGGCGATGACGATTGAAGCCAGATTCATCAGCCTCTCTCCATCGTCGTTGGTGGGTAATCGGAGCTCAACCTCTTTCGGCCGCCGTTCCGCCGCGATCAGTGGGTGGGTAATCGAAACTCTGCCTCTCTCCATCGTCGTGGGTGGGTGAGCGAGCGAGGCTTCACCAACTCTCTCCATCACCGTCGGTGGGAGGGTAATCAGAGCTCAACCTCTCTACATCACTGTTCCGCCAACGTCGGTGGGTGGGTAATCGAAGAGAGAAGAAGAAGAAGAGCAGAGTTGGACTGTTGCTAATGATCTATTGATCGAGATAGAGGAGAAGAGAGAAGTATGTCATCGCTTCTAGCGATCTGTTGAGCGAGAGAGAAAAAGAAGATTTTCCTGGTCAGTGACGATTTCCCTGGTCGGCCTTCAAACAAACAAGTTATTTTGTTAAATCCCATGTTTTAATTTCATGGGTTTTTAATTGAGAGATTTATGACCAAATCCCTCAATAATCAAATCTCTTATCCAAACGGCTTCTCTATAGAATTCAACCTTTTTCTATGTGTTGTGAACTCAGTCGAATTAAGAACTCATGACTAGATTGGAAGAGATAGATTTGATGAGATTATTGAGACCGCCATTGTCTATGATTGTTTAGTGAGTACAATTTTTTTTTGTATAAGATTTCTAGAAATTTGTAGACGATGTGCTTTTGATGGAAGGGATGAAGGATTGACAGTAAACGGCTAGAAAAAATGGAAGATCATGAGAAACAGTAAGACCGTTTGGTGGAATGCTAGGATAGTAGGATCTCATTTGGGAAAACTTGGGGGTTAAGGCGGGAGTGGCATAAGTGTGCTTTTATGTGTTCTTTTATAAATAAATTTAAAATACACCGCAAATTTAGATAATTGTATATATGCAATTGGTAACAAATCATACGAACGGACTATTAAGCTTTGTTATTTTATTTGGATATATATATTGAATTAAAAAATAAGAGATATTATAGTATTTTGTCTAAAATTTGGTAGTATATTTAATAATTTTAAATACAAACATTAATGCTTTATTAATATTTTGTATGTACGATTCTTAGAAAGTAGACCCTCTTTCCTCTTGCTCTTTCTCTCTTTCCCATTCCATGCGCTGGTAATTTATAGTAATTTGTACCTTATAGAGTAACTATATGTATGAAGATTATAATCACTTAAAATGTTTGAGAATTAATCAGATGAAATAGACTATGCATGGCCTTGCAGTTCAGTAATTTATTCTCTCGAGTACGAACAATTGTCTCATTGGTAATGTCGTTGAGCGTGCCCTTTCCGAATCTAGGTGCATGTGTGGGCTTATTTGACGGGTTGAGGCCGAGAGCGAGCAATTCCACTGTCTTGCGCAACCTGGTTTATTGGATTATTGATCGAGTCATGTTTTGGTTTATCGGGTCTAACAATGAGTATACTTATTATTTGTGATGTATATTAATAGCAGTTTGTTGGAATTTTGTATTTCATCAGGTAGGAAAATTCGAGTAATGAGCACATTTACTAAGTGTCTTTTACATTGATGATATGAACGAGTAGAAACTTATTTATCCGAATGTGTATCTTTTACATTGATGATAGGAATGAGTAGAGACTTATTTATCTGAATGTGTATGGCTATGTGATTTAAATCTTTTTCATTCTATTAGAATTATTTACATCTTCTCTAACATTAATTTATCCTTACATCACACACAATTTGAGGGACATGTGTTAGCACTCCTACTTTAGAGCACAAAATACGAACTTGGAGCAATTCGACAAACATTCACAAATTAATAGATGCAACCGAAAGGCAAAGAGTAGTTGTTTCACTAGAGGCAGACATATATATGGTGGGTGAAAGTAAGAATGGAAAATACCTGATGACAATACAAGCTATATGCAGGGTTCAGATTAACAAGCTAATTGTCTGTTAGTCACTAGCGATCGACTCAGATTGTATAACTCAGCCTCTTTGCATGTTGTTGTGAACCCAAACAGATTAAGAGCCCTGGACTAGATTTGAAGAGTTAGATTCAATGAGGTTATTGAGGTCTCCATGGATCTAGAGATAGTCTGGATCAGTTCATCATTCTTTTAATGGGTGCCCATTAATATGTCAAGTTGTAAGCTAAGTATCTGTCAGTCACCATCGATCGACTAAGACTATAGAACTCAGCCTCTTTGCATGTGTTGTGAACTCACCGGATTAAGAGCTCTTGACCATATTTGAAGAGTTAGATTCGATGGGGTTATTGAGGTTTCCATGGATATAGAGATAGTGTGGATTGGTACACAAATTTTTTGCACTAGAATCCTAGGTTTTTAGATGAAACGCTTTTGACGGAAGGGAATAAAGAGTTGACGGTAGATGGCTAGGAAAATTGGAAGATGATGAGAAACACTAAGACCGTGAAGAGGAGTACTAGGATGTCATTTGGTGAAAACATAGAGATTGAGGAGGGAGGGCGGAATTGCACATTTATTTTATTATTTTATAAATAAAATTTAAAATACTTAGTGAATTTAGATATTTTATGTATAAAATTGGTAAAAAAATCGTTTGAATTTATATTTAACAATTTTTTTCAATACAAATATTAATGCTCTGAATGTAAAATTTTCGGAACATAGAAGCACTTCCGTTCTCACTCTCGCTCTTTTCTCTTATTCAATGCGTTGATAATTTACACTGTGTTTGGGAAGAGGGGTAAATGGGAGGAGGGTGCAAATGTGAGGGGTAAACACAGTTTCCAACACATTTGCACCTGTTTGGTTAATTTGGAACAGTAGGGGGTGCAAAACGAGAGTGCAAATTTACTGTTTCGGCTTACCCCCCGAATTGGGGTGCAAAGGAAGGAAGGAAGAGAGGGGGAGGGGGGAATTATGGAATTTTGTTTTTCTAATTGTGTTATATATAATTATATAATAATTAATATTATCAATTTCTTCTTTTTATAAATATCATTAATGTAAACATTATTCGGGGTTGACCATTTGACTCTGGAAACAAGTTTATAAATGTTCGTCAAGTCAAATCTAGATCTCTTGGTTGAATCGAATTTGCATTGAAAATTAGATATATAAGGTGTTTGTGGAAAAGATAGAGAGAAATGGTTTGGTTAACTCATTTTATTTGACTAAATAGTTAAAACTTACAAATTCGAACGTGTTTGACTAAGTTTGACAATTTAAAGATTAAACTAGACACGAAAACCCTATATAGGATGACCAGTTACGAGTTGAGCTTCGAGTTTTGAGATCGCTCGATCAATGATTATTACAATTGTTATAATTAATTATTATTTGAGCATTATTATATAATAACTATTTTTTTAGTAAAGTATATTTATTATCATATAGTAATATTTATTTTATTATTTTATGATAATATTTTATAATTTTAAAATCTATTTTATAATTTTAAAATCTATTTTATAATTTTAAAATCTATTTTAAAATAATATAATTATTTACTTTGCACTTTATTTGCACCCCCTACTTTTTCATCCAAACAACAATTTACCCCTCCACTTACACCCCCCAGCAATTTGCACCCCCCAGCAATTTACCCCTCAACTTGCACCCTCCTGCAATTTGCACCCCCTTGTTGCCAAACAGAGCGTAGTAATTCGACCAACGAGCCTAGTCATAAGCTAGTAAGATTAATACATCGACGTGGGCAAAAGTGCTAACCTAGTCCTTGCTGGGTTTTGTTGAAGTCCCCTGCTCACGTGGCACGGACAAAATCCTCAAATTAAACCCGGAAATACCCAAACCACCCCGGAAGGCGCTTCTCAGTTTGTTGACTTTGTTCACACTCCCATCTGATGCCTGTCCGTCTTTTCCCACGGCCCATTCCTCCACCACGCGCATACTTCACTTCACTTCACTTCACTTCACACCGTTAACTCCCAGCTCCTTTTCCTTTACCCAGAAAACCAGCGATCGAACTGTACATTGTACATGGTAGATCCCGTCTGATCCACGCCACGTCAGCTCCCTGCGGCAGAACACCCCACGTGGCAGCATCATACGGTGGCGGTAAGCCTCTACACAGCAACCAGTTTTGGAGGGAAACCTGAGCGGAAGGGGTTAAAAATAATTTATTAAAAAAGAAGAAAATACACAGAAATCAAATTACAAAGGAAAAATATGATTCCAATTTCCAGCAGAGAGGCTCTGGGTCTGGGGCAGGCAGGCTCTCTCTCCCCTTTCGTTTGTCCAACTTTTCTCTCCTTTTTCTCTTCAGTGCTCTGTGTAATTAATTGATTGCGAGGACCATTTATAAAGAAAACAGAAAACCGGCAATCTCTTCTTCTTCTTCGCCCGGCGCTCTTCTCCTCTTCTTCCTCCTCCTCCGCCACCGCCGATCTTTCTGCCGGGAAATTGCGGCATCCTAAGCGGGTCATGCATGGCGCGCTGCGCCACTCTCGCTTGACGGACTCCCTGGCGGCGTAGTGCAGAAGGATAAACTATATATTTTTTTTGTCTTCGTCGTTTCTTAGGGATCAGATCTAATAGTTGTCGCCTCGGTTTGCTCAGATTTGTTTCGTTGTGCTGAATTGGGTGATGGTTTTGAGGAGAATTTAGGGTAATTCTTTTTGTAGGGTTTTTCGGGTTGGAGCATTCTTCGCTGGGGGCGGGAATGGAGAAAGGGAGGAGATCTGGCGAGCCGTCGGGGTACGTGGTCAAGAGCAAGGGGCCTTCTGGGTGTTTGATTGTGAGGAAGAAAGGGAGTGATGGCGTGGGAGCGTCGGCCTCTTCTGGCTCGCGGAAGCCTTTTGAATCGAAGAAGAAGGAGAAGAAGAAGAGGCCGAGGTTGGATTTCAGCGATGCCGGGTCCAGTGACGAGCTGTTAATGCGTTCACGGGCAAGGTTAGCGCCTGGAACTTCTCGGATTCGTAATGGCGTGAGTGATTTTGATGCGGGTGTTGAAGAGGAGAGTGGGATTGCTAGGAAGAGGAGCAGGGGAGAGGGTGGTAGGCGTAGTGAGATGGATGGCATTGTTAGGGATAGGGATAATTTGATTGACCGGGCGAGGACCAGGTTAGATGTGTTTGATTTTGATGAGGATGAAGGTAGTGAGGCGGGATCGATGAGAAGGAAGCGCCCTGAAGAAGGTGGAGCTGATAGTCGGAGGTTTTATGGCTCAATGACTGTGGGTAGAGGTAGCATTGAAAGAGAATACAATTCTGGTTCAAGTAGAGATGCTCTTCCTGGGAATAGGCAGGCTTCATATTTCGAGAGGGCCAGTGGTTTGACTCGTGGTGATCGTTCTGCCAGGGAGGGGGTTCGACTGCCGGCTCCAGCTCCGAGGGATGACTTTGAATCAGATCAACCAATTCGGGTTCAAGGTAAAAATGGTGTTCTAAAGGTTATGGTAAACAAGAAAAAAAAGGTTGGTGGGTCTCTCAATGGTTACAATGCCATGGAGCCTGAGGAAGTAAGGAAGGGTGTGAGGACAGATGAATTTTCCAAGAAGAACATTCTTAAGCGCCCAACTCCATTCATAGGCAGAGAGAAGAAACCGATGAATCTTCTGAATTCGATGAAAAGTGAAGATGATAATGCGAGTGACCAGGATTCTGGTGATAGTGGTATTTTGTTGACAAAGAAAGCAAATATGAGAGCCAAGTATGCAGAACCTAGCAATTCTCAGAAGGTGATGATCTCTGCAAGGAAAATTGCGAGCACTGGTATTAATTCTGATGACAGTGATACTTCCTTGAAGCCGAGACCAAAGAACGGCCGGGGTCTTAGATCAAGAACGGGGACAAGTTATGGAGATGAGAAGACTACGCCTAGTAACCTTCTTCCAAGCAAAATTAATGAAGGCAAACTTAAGCGTGGTTCTGGCACTGAAAAACAAAAGCTGCGGGAAAGAATTAGGGGGATGCTTATAGATGCTGGCTGGACAATAGATTACAGGCCTAGGAGGAATAGGGACTATTTGGATGCGGTTTACATAAACCCTTCAGGAACAGCATACTGGTCCATCATCAAGGCATATGACGCTCTTCTAAAGCAGTTGAATGAAGATGAAGAGGTTGTAAAGGCTAAGGTGGAATGCTCTCAAATTACACCATTACCAGATGAGCTGCTCAGCCAACTTACAAGGAATACTAGGAAGAAGATGGAGAAGGAAATGAGAAAGAAACAACGAGACAGCCGCCAGAGTGACAATGCAAGGGAAGCAGTAGGGCGAAAGGCATCAAGCAGCCGGTATGATGAGGAGAGTATGGACAGCCAGAGTCAGGATGAGAAATTGAGCTCATTCATAACCTCCAAGGGCCACCGTTTGATGCATACTTTGCACGACAACGACGAAAAATTATCCTCTGGATACAATAGTCACCATGGTAGGAAGAGCAGAAAACTAGGCAGATGCACCCTACTAATACGAAGATCAAACCAGGGTTTGAACTCAGATGGTAATGGTTTTGTACCTTATAGTGGAAAAAGAACACTGCTCTCTTGGCTAGTTGACTCTGGAGCTGTGCAGTTGAGTCAAAAGGTGAGATACATGAATAGGAGGCGAACAAAAATTTTGCTGGAGGGCTGGGTAACACGAGATGGAATCCATTGTGGCTGCTGTAGTAAAATCCTTACAGTTTCAAAATTTGAGATCCATGCAGGAAGTAAACTCCGACAACCCTTTCAAAATATATATCTGGACTCTGGGGTTTCCCTTTTGGATTGCCAGATTGATGCATGGAATAGACTAGAGGCTGCTGAGAATATTGGGTTTCACTCGGTAGATGTTGATGGTGATGATCCGAATGATGATACTTGTGCTCTTTGTGGTGATGGTGGGGATTTGATATGCTGCGATGGTTGTCCATCGACATTTCATCAGAGCTGCCTGGACATTGAGGTGAGGTTAAATAATCTGCTGTGGATATATAATCTTAATTTATTAGAACAAGTAATACTAGTTTCTGTTGCTAGTTGTTATTGCTTTTTTTCTGTGCTCTCTCAATAACAGTTAATTCTTCAGTTTGGCTCTGGTTCTTGAGTCGTTGGAGGGTGTTTATGCTCTTGGTAGTGACAGTTTGCTGGTTCTTTCACTTTCTGTTTCTCTTGCTCGGAGGAAAGTTAACTATATTGGTTGATGTGTGTGTGTGTGTGTGAGAGAGAGAGATAGGTAGATAGATAGATAGATTTATAGAGCGGGAATGAGTTCCTTTTTTTTACCATGCTTTTTGAAGAGGACTCCTTTCTTGTTTCAGATGCTGCCTACAGGTGATTGGCATTGCCCAAACTGTACTTGCAAGTTCTGTGGTTCAGCCAGTGACAATCTTACGGATGATGATGATCCAACTGTTTCGGCACTTCTGACGTGCAGCCTATGTTCTAGAAAATGTACAATAATCTTATTATCTTGTTTCTTAAATATTTTACATAATTCCTTCCCCTTCTCTTCCAACTTTCTACCCTTTTTCAGATCATGAATCCTGCATGAATGATATGGATGCTGCCACTATTGAGGGTGATAGTTCTAAATCTTGCTTCTGTAGCAAAAAGTGCGGAGAGGTACTTGTTTTCCCGTGTTTCTGTAACATATTGACGTTGTTAAGATTTTATGCTCTTGTTTGTGTAAAGGACCGGGCTTTGTTTGATTCTTGATAGTTCTTGGTAGAGGACATTTAACGCATGAGGATGTTTGTGCTACTGCTATCAGAAGCAATATGCTTCCAAGTGTTCTCTTTATTATTTTTTTCGTTTGGAAACTGAATTGTCGAGGAGTTTCCTTGAAAGCATATTTTGCTTAGGCTTTCTAGATTATTTGAAACTCACATGCCATTTGTAGATTAGCGGGATTCAGATTAATGGTCTTCATCCTTTGCTTATGTAGCTTGTGCAAGTTTAGCTTTTATGAAGTCTGGAATCACAAGAATAAATAGATTTCTGTTATTGGTTCTTATCGAGTTGGGGATGTCAGCAGAATTTTGTATGTGGTGATCCTTATTTTGGAGTATTGAGCTTCTTGTGTGTTCCACTTTCAAAATCTGGCATGTAATGGATCGGCGTATTTTCAGTTGTTTTCCGCGTGCTTCTTTCTTATCTAGATAAGTTCTATTTACCCCCTACTTGTGTTGCTTTCAGCTCTTTGAGCAATTGGGGAAGTATCTTGGCGTCAAACAGGAGCTGGAATCAGGATTTTCATGGTCTCTTATTCGGAGAACAGACTTTGACCTGGATACATCTCTTCAGGGACTTCCTCATAGGGTGGAGGGGAATTCAAAGCTAGCTGTGGCTTTGTCTGTAATGGATGAATGCTTTTTGCCAATAATTGATAGGAGGAGCGGGATCAACTTGATCCATGGTGTTCTTTATAATTGTGGGTAAGCATTTTGTTCTTATGGGTGCGGAATGCTGCCTCCCTTCTCATTTTCACTGTGAAGTTTTGTTACTGCATGTGTCGAGTCTTGGCCTTTTTCTGTCAACATAGATGGTTTTGTGGCGTATTCATTCCTTGATAATGCTTACACTCAAACTTAAAAGTACATATCAGTTTGTCATTAGGGAATTTGTTTTTCTAACAGCTTGTCTAATATTCTATGACTTCTATGAAGTAACCCATTCTTTATTAATCCATCTTCCCTTTTTCTCCAGTCTGTTAGAACTGTTGTAACTATGTTAAGTTTGTTCCTTTCCTTTTGGATGGAACATCAGTACTGTCATTCCAAATTACGTCTGTTCCCTATTATTGTAGGTCAAACTTCAATCGACTCAACTACAGTGGGTTCTTTACCTTGATTTTGGAGAGGGGTGATGAAATAATTTCTGCTGCGTCCATAAGGTATGAGACTGATTTATATATATGCCATGTGGACCTAATTGCATCTATGTTTTTAAGTATAATCTAGCGAGGGAACATAATAGCAGTAAAAAGCTCCGAAGATATGTTTTCGTTAGTAAAATCTTTTGATGCATTGACGGAATAAACTGCTTTATTTTTCTTCTTGTCTATTAAAACTGAACCACAAAAAAAAAAAAAAAAAAAAAAATAAAACGAAATATATATATATAGGAAAACACCCAAAACCCTATAACTAATCCTAACCCACTCGGCCAATTTCTTGCCCCAAACTCCACGCTAATCCCCAAACCCTCGACTACCTATTCCTAATCAAACTATAACAGTTATTCCCCCTCCCAATTCCCGCGCAACCTTGTTTATCCTCTTCTCCTTCCTTCCATAATCCACCCCCCCTGGATGCTGAAAAGGCTGTGCCACAACTTCAAGAGAAACACCAACAAAGTCGTTGAAGGCGACTTCTTGAGCTGGCGGTGGCTAGGGCTGTCCATTTGGTTTTGGTTTTTTGGTTTTAACCAAAACCAAACCAATTGGAAAGCTAATGGTTTCAGTTTTTTGGTTTTAAACCAATAAGCAACTTAATGGTTTTGGTTTGGTTAAAACTGAAAAACCAATAGAAACCATTAAGAAACCAATAAGAATAAAATTATTCATCAACAATTTTTTTTTTTTGTTTCTTTTGACACGCATGCCAACCAATGATTTGTAATGGTCATTTACCATTATTATGACGTTTATTCAATAAAAAGGAGGAAAATAAGAATAAATATGAGTGTATGAGTACATGTTGGTTTTTTGGTTATCCAAATCAAAACCAAAACCATTAAGGTCCTTATTGGTTTTTGACAACCAAAAACCAATAAGGACCTTAATGGTTTTGGTTTTGGTTTTTGGGATTTGGTTTTTGGTTATTGGTTTTTCATACTTAATGGTTTGGTTAACCAAACCAAACCAAATCGACAGCCCTAGCGGTGGCGGCAGCGGTGTTGAAGGCGACTTCTTGAGCTGGCGGCGGCGGTGGCGGCTTAATGGTGGTTGGTGATGGCAGCAGCGTGGTGGGAATTGCGGCAGGTGCAGCTGCGGCAGGTGCAGGGTTCCAGCAATTTCAATTTTTGTATGGCTATGGCCGGTATCTTCTCAAGAGATTCCATGGCCTCGAACGCTTTTGCTTTTAAGGCTGGATCACCAGTCTCTTTCCAAAGACGCCATGCTACTAGGCGATCTGCGTTGCGAAAAAGGCGCTTTTGGTTGCGCTGCAGAATCTCCTCGTTACGCTGCAAGCGGTCACCGATTGAGACTCTCGTCGAGTTCGGTTCGTCGGAGGGTTCTTGCATCGGCCGTCGGTTCGTCGGAGGGTTCTTGCATCGGCCGGCAGCCCCCGACGTGTCCTCCAACAGCGAGGTCGGCAGCACGGTATGAGGTCGTAACCTCCGGCTGTGCAGGGCAAACGTCCAGCGGCGTTGCCAATTGATGCATTGACGGATCAAACATCGTGAATCCAAATTACTCCTACTCCTATATAAACATAACGATAAATTATTTTTCTTCTTATCTACTAAAACTGAACCACAATATATATATATATATATATATATATAGGCAAAGGCTAGCGTATGCCCGGGCGTACCCTAACCTACCGTACGCCCGTTGAGTTTTGCTATTTAGACAATGAATTAACCGGAGTTTGGGGCATGATACTATACCATAACCCCTAATGGGTGAACCCCAGTCCGCAATTCGCTAACCCAAAGCATAATATTCATTTAATCTTGAAATGAAAATCAACGGTTCTGAATCGTCGAAATTATTGTTGATTTTCATTTTAAGATTAAACGAATCTCATGATTTGGGTTAGAAAACTTGGGACTGGGGTTTATCCATTAGTGGTTAGGGTATAGTATCATGCCAAAAACTCCGGTTAATTCATGATCTAAATAATAAAACTCAAACGGGCGTACGGTAGTCTAACGTACGCCCGGGCGTACGGTAGCCTGAACCATATATATATATATATAGAGAGAGGAAAACACTAAAAAACCCTATAACTAATCCTAAGTCCTAACCCAGTCGGCCAATTTCTTGGCCCAAACTCCACAGTAATCTTCAAACCATCGACTACCTATTCCTAATCAAACTATAACAATTATTCTCCACCCAGTTGGCCAATTCCCTTACACCAGCCGAATCCTTATAATAATAATAATAATAATAATAATAATAATAATAATAAACATCTATCATCCATCAGCTTCTTCAATCCTGATCCTGGGAGATTAATCTCTGGTAAAACCGAAGTGAGATATGCAAATTTGAAGCTTACTGTTACAGATGAATCGCTTTGTGAATTCATGCTATGTTAGTTCAGCTTAGGTTGCATTACTACATGTCTACATGCATTGGCGATGCTAGTTTTACTCTTAGGTCATGCATGGGGGATCTGGTTTGGATTGTAGGTCCACTTTCTGCTGGCATATGCTTTGTTTGGGTATTGAGTTTTGAGAAGGCGACTAGTCTGACCAATCAGTTTAACCTGTTCTTTGTTAGATTGCATGGGACAGAATTGGCAGAAATGCCCTTCATTGGAACTCGCCACATATACAGACGTCAGGGAATGTGCAGACGTCTTTTTAGTGCTGTTGAATCGGTAAAAGTTCTCTTTAATACCCTTTTTGATACCATGTAGATTTTTTTTCTCCTCATTCAGTCAACGCTCTTCTCACTTTCATCATTGGTATATTTCGCCAGGTACTCCGCTCATTGAAGGTTGAGAAGCTAATTATTCCTGCCATTGCTGAACTAATGCACACATGGACGGAGGTGTTCGGGTTTACTAGCCTTGATGAATCCCTTAAGCAAGAACTGAAGTCTATGAATACGATGGTGTTCCCTGGTGTGGATATGCTTCAGAAGCACTTACTTCAGCAGGAGAATGGGGAGAAAATGAACACTAATAAAGGTTTTTCCCATTTAGTGTTTTGTAGATAGATTTTTTTTCCTGAATTGATCCAATATGTTACTGAACTCTTTATTTTTCTTCATAGGTGTGAAAGAGAAGGGACCCCAAGGTGATAAATGTATGGACAATGGTTCAGCTGATAGTGGTTCAGCTGGAGATTATCTTCGAGAAAGCGACAGTGGTGGTCTTGAACATAATAACAGTGAAGCAAAAGTTGGAGAATCGGCTAGGGTAAAATCTGGCACATCAAGTCCAGTTGCTTCTGCAAATTCTTCAAAGATTTCCTTGGATGCATCCCACGAGATTAAGCAGAGCGTCAGCTCAGATTCAGGGCTAGTAGACAAGAAGCTGGATAAATCCAGAATGTCCAACGTGAAATCAGCCTCTGGGGATAATGATGATATCTCTGATCATACTCATCCCGATAACCAGTTTCTTCTTCCCATTTCCTCGAACAATGTTTCTGGAATGAGCAGTTCACCAGATGCTTCTCGTGAAAATAAACCAGTAAATGGCGAGGCAGTAGATGAATCGGCGTCTGTTGCTAACCATTTGAGGATGCCTACTGTTATGAGCAGTCAGAGAGAAGTAGAGGTGGCACGTGACTTGGGGGATAATGGAACTGTTGAGGCCCAAACATTCAATCGATTAAGCGAGTCTACATCAGAGGAGGAACATAGAGGTTCATTCTCTACTGAACAAACTAAATTGCCTGGTGGTCTCCGGAAAGACTCCGAGCCAACCAATACCGATGCTCCCGCGGAGGAATATCATCAATTGGGGTCAGGCCTTGAACCAGCAAACCATGCAGCAGCAAGTTATGAGCATGGTTTTGGTTCCGAGACTGATGCGAGTGAAGGCAAAACTGAATCTGAGTAGGTGCTGCACTCCTTGTTCACTTACACTACTCTGACGATGAGGGTAAGCATTATGGGGCACCTAGTTTGGTGTGTGATCTCGAGGAGATCGATGCGTTGTTCTCTGTGCACAGGGGCTGCTGGGATGCCCGCAGGTATGCTCGACGATCTTGTTACATGCTTTAGTTCTGGTCCTTCCGAGAAGAGTGCGATTGATCAATATCACTGCTTGAAGTGAAGGGAGCGAGGATTAGGCTGCCAGCCGTTGTTGTATGTTGAGTGGGATGTCGAGAGTAAGAGCTATGTCGTGTGCATTCACCCGTAGAACGTGTATATAAGTTTGGTAATGAGCGGCGGGGTTCCAGATTTTGGAGCTTTGATTCCTTCCAAGCCCTCCATGTAACAGAAAGAAGAGGAACGATTCGATTCTTACGTAGCAGACGCTCCCTCGGGTTCTCCTGTTTTTTATTATCCCATCACGGGAAGATACTGGTTTCTGGATACCAATTTTTCCATGTGTGCAAGTAAGGAACTGAGATGGAAATTGTTCCTTCAATCCACGCTTTCTATTTCAATTCAGTGCTTCTTTATCGAATCAAATCCTTTTTCTATGTACATTCTCACAAAAACTCCTCAGCGGTCTTCAAATCATCCAGTATCTCAGACTTCACAGATTCCGGAAGGGTTGCGGATGGCCCTGCTTTCGAGTAGAAGCTCGCCAGTGCTCTTATCGCCTTCTCTATCTCCACGTACGATTCCTGTATGTTAGAATGATTGATCAATGTAAGGTTTTGGCAGATATAGCAGTTTCAATCTTCTGTGAATGAGTGAACAAATTTTGGAATGTTTACCTCGCCGGCGATCTTCTCTTGGCCCCTCCAGTTGCCCAAATACTCTCTAATGGATTCCTTGGCTGCGTCGGCGTTCCGCCTGAACTTGGCATTGTCCTTGGGATCCTCCTGCAGCGACTCTCGCAGCGTCTTCACCACCTCTCTCGCCGACTTCAGGTACGCTTTTGGAAGCAGTTTCCCGGATTTCGTCTTCTCGTTTGGATCCAGAAGCGATTTGATCGCGCCGACCACGCCCTCCTCCTCTTCGTCTTTTACCGATTGTCCGCCTTCGGCTCTGGCAGGCAATGGCGTCGGCATCCAGCTGGGAGACATAATGGATAGTGTCGACATCGCACCAGAGAGCAAGACTCGCCGACGAGTCTCGGCGGCAACTTGATTCTGTTGCAGCTGCTTATCTGTGAAAGCGACAATGAAATCATCATCTGGAAATTCGATTCATAATCAGAAGAAGGGAGTGCACTGTACTTACAGGAACAATCAGTTGGTGCTTTAACAGAGACGGAAAGGCATGGATTAACTACAGAACTCGCGACGGTCGGCAACATTGTTCTGCCGTCGATTTCAGTTCGGCAACTTGCTCCAATGGCGCACTTCAGGTCGGATATCTCAGCTTACGTCATTTTCTTTCTCTTAGACTGCTGCTTCTCCGGTTCTTCTTCCTCTACATTCACTTCTCAGTTCTCATTCTCCGCCGACGGATGAAGCTTCGAATCTATCCGAATGGAAATGGACACAGCTGTTATTTTGAGGATTCGTGAAGGTTAAGTTAGTCATTTGGATCAAGCCTCCGACGTCGTTCTGGTATCTTTCTCTCTCTCTCTCCCTCTTATATCCCCGCCGGCAAACGTCAGTCTCCGGTTCTATGACTCGCCTTTCCGTTGAAAATAGGAGACGAGATCTCTCTATCTCGCTCCTCTTTCCTCTGTTGCTAGAATTCAGACGCCGGTGAATTTCGATTCCAGCAATCGGCGGCAGTCCCCGGCGCTGCAGGAATCCTCTGCTGTTTCCCGGATATGACTAACAACTCCCAGCAAAATTCTTCATCCTTGAAGCCTTCCTCCTCCGCTTCCGCATCGCAGAGGAAATCTCGCTGGGAGTCTTCCTCCTCCGCCGCTGCTAACGCCAATAATCCACCGTCGGGATCGAAATCGAACCAGCCAAAACCCGCTAAACCTCATCCCAATTCAAAACCTTCGCCGAAGCTGAAGACAGGGCCATCTCCCAAGCCTGCCGCTCCTCTTGCTCGGCCACCAGGTGCAGCCTTCCCTTTCCCCGACTTTGGCCCTCCTCCTACTCCCACCTATGGCTTCCACATGCTGGAAAGAAGGACCATTGTCCTTGCAGACGGCAGCGTTCGCTCCTACTTTGCTCTTCCTCCAGATTACCAGAACCTCCCTCCGCCCGGTTTTATTCCCCCTCGTCCGCTCCCACCCGGTGGAGATCTCAGATTCCCGCCCATGAGTCCTGAAGGTTTAGGGTTCCGTGATGGAAACCACAGTGCCGCTTTGAAGAGGAAGCACGCTGGAGGGGACGACGAGTTCAAGTTCAGCAACAACCCTAACGGGTTTCATTCGGCTGGGGCCGGGCCAAGCAGTCCGTTTATGAGGGGTGATGAACTGAGGCCAGGGAAGTTTATGAGGATTGGTGGTGACAGCGTGGGAATGATCCATAAGCACCTTGAAGTGGACCAGAACAAGCTAAAGAAGGCTTTTCTACACTTTGCTAAGGTGATCAATGACAGTGAAGCAGAGAGAAGGCGTTATTTAGAGAACGGCAAGCATGGACGGATTCCTTGTGTCGCTTGCAACAGGTTTGTTTCAGTTCCCCTGTCTTTTACTCTCGCTATTGATTCGACTCTACTTGTGCATCTGTTTCCTATACAAGTTTTTCTTCTCGTAGTGTAAGGTAGTATGTTGTTTAGAACATGGGTACTTGGAGTTTGGACTCTGAATCTCTGATTGGTAGGTTTGAAGTTGTTATTTATATATTCAATCTACGGGTGGATAATTTTCTTTAATTAGCTTACTACATTGTTTGACATAACCAGTGAGGGTTATCTGCTTTAATTTCTATCGATAGTTCATGTTGTTACTTTGACGTTTGTGCATTTCCGGGTGAAAGAGGGAAACCCTTGCTTTGGTAGTAGTTCGAGCATTTTTTTTGTCCTACTCATTCTTCTTCTGGTGCACTTTCGAGGAAGAATGGTATATATTTCGTATGGTATAGCCTCATTCCTTCTGCATTAAGGAACTTGAGTTTATGCGTTTGTAGTATATATGCTAGTGACTCTGGTTTCTTTATACTTTCCTTGCTACCTTCCTGCTCTCGTACTACTGCATGGAAATCCTTCCACATAACAACCCCCACATTTTATTTAGAGAAATGAGCAACAAAGAATGTTCTGTGGAATAAATAAACAAACAGTTGAAACTACTGTCCAAATCAGGCCCCTGCTTTATAAATAAGAAGTGCTCCCTTTCTCAGTCAGACTACTTAGTAGTTGTCAAACTATGTCAGTAGCAGCTGCTTGTGTAAATTGTTTTGTCCAAGTTTCTCTATGCAGCAAGTAACAGGAAAGTAATTCCATACCCAGAATAGGATTGGATGAATCGTCCTTTTCTTTATGGCGATGAGTCCTCCCTTTTAAGAGCCCCATCACTGACTCCTAATTTCCCCCCATTGTCTACTCTATGTGTGTTGAGGTTGCTGTAATTTTATTTGTTTTCTTCTTTTTCTTTATCCGAAGCTTTAATTATGTGAGTTCAAGTGTATTATTTACTGATGATTACCATAGAATTAAACTTCTCTTGTAAAGATTCCACCTCCTGTGTAGGGTGGTTTGCAGCTACAGATTTCAGGATGAAAGAAGAGTTTCATTGAAATTTGGTTTGACTCAGATTTTTCCTGAGTGGATTCTCAGGTGAAGTCCTGCTCCTTGGTGGAGAGGCAACCCTTTTTACCCTATTTTCCATTGTTTCTTAAAATTCCAGCAACTATATCAGAACAGAAACCTTCCTTTCCTGCTCGCGTTACACAGGACAAACTCTAGGCACATAATCAGACTCTGTCCCAAGCACTTGACTTTTTTCAAACTTTTTGAGACTCGTGAGAGAGTTGGGGTGTCTGTTTAGTTACTGGGAACATGATCATTTGTTTTGTTTGCATTGTCTTTTGGCTGTCCTGAAAGCTACTTCTTTTTCCTCATGTTTTGTTTATGTGAACTATTACTCATGAGCTGGGTATGTCCCTCTGGTTGGTTGATTGTGGGCATTGGGCAAGTCCGACTTATGATAGGATTGTTGACTGGACAATGAATGCCTGTTTGAAGCACGTGGTATTTAGACTATGACCAGTGGGTTCCAATTGTTATTTATGTCATTTATATTATCTAACTACGTTGCTTGTGGGCATCAGGGTTCGGGAAGGAATATCTGCTTTAAGTTACTCCGTTACTTCGTGCTACCACTATGTTAGTTTCGCATGTACCGCGAAGGGCAAGAGGAAACCTCTTGCTTCCCTTAATGATTCAATATATTTGGTTTAGGTCCTTTGCGCTCCTCTCTAGCTGCACCTTTCAGAAAGGAACTATTATATATTTTATATGCTATAGCTTCATTCTTTCTATTTTGACGAGCTTGAGATTGTGATCATGTAGTTTTTATGTGAGTGGCTGTGGGCTGTGGCTTTAATACTTTCCTAGCTACCTTCCCCAGAGACACATAGCTGCTAACTACTAACCAGTATGCTGGGACTCATTCCCGACTGCTGCTTGGACTTCTGCATGGCATTCCTGTACATTGTGTTATTTACCTGAAGGAAAGCAATCAAACTACAGTCTTAACGATTGTCGGAATTGTGCTTTAATCAAAGAACTGCGAATCCGTTCACATTGAGACTACTTCATTGCCAGAAATCACATCAACAGCAATTGGTTGTATAAATTGCTTTGCCATTTTTTGACTGAGGTGCTAGCACTGAGAGCAATGCTATATCAGAATAGTAGTGGATCAATCCTCCCTCTTAATCTCCCCATCAAGAACCCTAATTCCTATTTGTTAACTCTGATGTCCACGTAGGTTGCTGTAGTTTTCTTCTTTCTCTTTATTGAAGGTTTTTATTATGTAAGCTATAGTCTTTAATCTTTATTACTTACTCATGATTGTCCTAAAGGTTGTTTTCCTTTAGTAAATGTTCCGGCCTCATTAAGGTGCTAAGGATAACAGGATGATAGATCTTAGTTCTATTGAATCTTTGATTAGATTTTCAGAGCCTTCTTGAATGGATTCACGTATGAAGTCCTGCTCCTTGGTTAGAGAGGAAACCCTTTAGACCCCTAAATTTCATTGCTCTCTAAATTCCAGCAACTATGTCAAACATAAAACTTCCTTTCCGACTTCCTTTTCATGCTACAAATATCGGGCATATCAGGCGCTGTCCTCAAGCACCTGCTTCATCACACTTTAGACTAATGGATAACGGGTTAAGATTAGACGAGGATGCTTCCAACTTATCTGCTAAATTACTGGGACTATTTACTAGGCCTTCTTAAAATTTTAATCGCCTTTTAGTGTCCTGGATACTTTTTTTTATATATAGATAAGTTAACTTCTGGTTTGTTTCTCTGCCAACTTTACTTATGAGCCTGGGGTGGCTGGGTTATGTGCTTCAGGTTGGCTATCAATGAACAAGTCCACATATGATTTTAGTGCTGACTTGACAATGGAGTTCAGTGTTTTGTCTTGGTTTGCTCTTATTTAACAGACAATTGGCTTCATGGCCATGTGTAGCAATTCCATTACTAGGCATCAATTATCTATTTTCTGTTAATCCTTTCCTACTTGTCTGCTTGCTCTGAGTGTTCTTGTTTTTGAATGTTCAGTTGCACAATCAATGACTTGCATTGTGCATGTGTTCATAGCACATAGGGCTTTGTGGAAACTAAATTGCAGGCTGTATCGCTTTATTCTTTTTACTATTTCCTTTCGGTTATTGTTGGTTTAGATCATTAGTTCATCAATTAATGTCTTGCAGCAGGCATGTGCTTACTGTATAGGTGCTTCACACTTTTTCGTCTGTTGCCTTAATGTGATAATGGATAACTTGGAGGCTATAGTTCTGGTTTGATACTTTGGACAAAAACGTTCAAGATTTAACCGCTGCACTTGTTGTTAGTTTTTGTGGTTTGATGTCTTTCTTGGCTACAAATTTAGCCTGTCCAGTGGCCTATTACATTATTCAAGATTATCATGGTATTCGTTTCTGTTTGTTTGTAGAGAACGATTCACCTGTGTACAGATAACCAACCATGCACTTCGTCTTTTGAAATAGATGGCTGATCTTCCTGCACAACTTTTGTCTCAGTCTTTGTACTGGAATATCAATTCACCTTTTTATATGATATACTACCAAGTTACCAGTGAATTCGGCTTTTTACTCTTTTTGTTTCTCGAGGAGTGGAATTGTGAACGCATGCTGATTTGACTCTGATTTCCTTCTCCAACTGTATCTCAACACAATTCAAACGGTTGATACATGACGTGTAATGGAATACAACAACAAGTTAGCTGTATCCACTCTACTTCTTTGTCTGTTTAGTGTTTTGTGATAGAACTGACTGGACAGGCTGCGGCCAATTCTGTTTGGTATTTAGATTTACAGCAAACACGTGGGATCATCGCCTGAATTTGTTATTGTTCGATGCCCTTCATGTTGCAAAATACAGGTCGAAAGATTTTCCAGATGTGCATGCTCTTATATTGCATACATACAACTCAGAAAAGGCTGAATCTCATGTGGATCACTTGGGATTACACAAAGCCGTGTGTGTTTTAATGGGATGGAACTTCACGAAGATCCCTGATAGCTCAAGGGCATACCAGTTCCTACCTGCCCATGAATCAGCAGCAAACCAGAACGATTTGATTTTGTGGCCACCTTTGGTGATTATTCATAACACAGTTACAGGAAAGGGTAAAGATGGACGCTTGGAAGGTTTGGGAAACAAAGCCATGGATAGCAAAATAAGAGGTATAGTGCAACCCTTCATTCAATTGTTCTTGTTTGTTTTGGAACAATGTGTCATATCAGATCCATGGATTCCTTGGTTCTGAATGGAGGATGGGTTGCATTTGCGTAGCAGCTTGCTCTGACAACTTCTGCCCTTGTGGTATCCTGTACTGTTTTCCCCTTTGGGGGTGGGTAGTAAACCAGCATTATTGTCATTGACAAATATCTGTAGAAGAACTTGCTTTAGACTTTAGCAGTTCTGAAGGCGGCTACTAAAAATACAGTTAAAAATCAGTCAGTGTTTGTGAAAAGGCACCACTGAAGGGAAGTGTTCTAAGAAGGTACTGTTCTATAGTTATGAGTTGCTAGCAATTCTATAGATATGCTGGAAGAGGAGTTGGTTTTGGAGTCCTTTCGCCTCCTTTTCTTTCTTTTCTTTAGTTTCTTTAGTTACGAGTTGCTTGCAATTCTATAGATATGATTCTGCAGCCTAGTTCTGGTTTTCTAAGTAAACCTTAGTGTTAAAGAGTTGAGTTGCGCCAACTTCCATTCTTCAGAAAGTTTAGAACAACTTCCTTCTCAATCTTTCTGGCCTCCCTGTTTCTCTTTTGGAGGAATAGGTTAAGAGAGGAGGGGGAGGTATAGCTGACATCCTGCTTCCAACAACCACGAATAGGTTGTTTGCATTTTGATTTTCTTTTTGGCGAGGATGGGCGAGGATGTTGCTGAACAGTTCTTAGCAATTGTGCTTTGGCCATTTCTTCTGTATTATATCTCAACGGTCTTATATTTATATCGTGGACAGCTTTTCAGGAAGCAAGCAATTGAACCAATGGGCGCCTGATGTTTTGGGGATAACTCTCGTTACTGAAACTGGGCTTAGGGCATTGAACCAAAGGCTGATAGCAGTCTAGCATTCATCTTCTTCTTTCCTTTATTGTTACTCAAGCCCTTTATTGTGTCTGTGAACTAGAATAGTAGCTGCTATATGTAGGTCCTTGACTGACCTTCATGAATAGGGGACAATGGTAGGTTGAAACTCTATTTTTCAGCAATTACAAATTTACAATCCAGATGAACTGAAGTCATTGTCATAGACAGTTACTGCTCTTAGCTGTAATATTCTCTCTTCTCCCAGTTTTACTTTGCAAGTTACACTTTTTGTTTGAAATTTATGCTCACATGAGTTTAGGATCTTAGCGAGTGTTTTGGATCGTGGAGAGAATATACCGCTTCAGCTGTCTGAAGCAGCTACATTAGTGAACATTTTAGGAATGTGCTGTTCTGTGCCTTTTTCCTGTTACAAACACAGGTTTGTTAAGGCCTAACCATCTTGTTAGGCAATGATGATGATGTAGAACCGATCTCTTCATTGCCTGCCAGGCACTGAAGCCGAATCTAGCTGAACTTGAAAACTTATTAAGTACCTAGTTTCTTCTAAGAACTTATTATCTCTTACAGTTCTGGCACTATGTAGTAGGTCTATTAGAATTATTGTCTCTGAGTTTTGTCGATGAACTTATTATTTCTTACAAGTTAAACTGCTGAGAAACAGAGGATAAATTAAGGTCAGATGGATGTTCATATCTATCCTTTGAGCAATTGAGCCAGATCCTTTAGGGAGTGGTATCAGCTATTTGGTTCTCGACATCTACTACTGAGCAAATGGAGCCGTCCGCGTTTCACATTTGGCAGATACTCCCCCTGCCTCTTTTTCATTGTAAATGCAGATTCTAGTGTTGCCATACATGCTGGTCATAGTGCAGTGGAAATCACATTTATCTCTTTCCGCTTTCTGATTCCCCTTTCTATAACAATGTGGCTTTTCAGGTCTTGGATTTCCGGGTGGCAAGTCCAAATCACTGTACGGAAGAGACGGTCATCAAGGGATGACACTTGTTAAGTATAGCGGGGACATGTCAGGCTTGAAGGAGGCCGTGCAGCTGTCCGATCACTTTGCGATGCAGAATCATGGGCGAATCGCATGGGAACATATACAGCCGGTGGCTTTAGGCAGAGACGACGATGACAGGAATCCAAACCTCGTGAAGATTGACCATCGCAGTGGGGACAAACAGAGGATTCTGTACGGGTATCTTGCCACAGCTGCTGATCTTCACAGGGTGGATTTCGAGACACGGAGGAAGGTAACGATCGAGAGCCTTCGAGAATACCAGCAAGTCAGTCATCCTCCGCGATAACACAATCACCTCGAGGTAACAAATAGCTGGACTCGAACCTCGACTCATTGCTTTGCAACTCAAAGGCACCGGTCTGTAACCTTGTATTGTCCATTTGGCTCTAGAGAGATGAGGAGGGGGAAAAAAGGCTTCGTATTGATCAATTGCGATATCTCATTATCGTTGCCAGAAGTCGAGGTGGTATTTAGGAACAACCGGATTGCATAGAGAGCTTCATATGTATCTATATTCATTTGATAAGTGAGCCCCTCTAGTCTTTATTTATGCGTTCAGAAGACGAAGGCTGCAGAACGGCTGGTGCGTGGTGTCAGTCAGATTCTTAAATTTATAGCTCGTTCTCTGTCTCCTTATGAAGCCAGTTGTAACTTGTAAGTTTGTAATATGAAAACTGCTTCTGTTCTTTCTGGGGGAGTCCGAGAGAGGACTTGACTTACGTTAGTTTTTGTTTGTACACAGAGCAAGGGTTTCAGGTTTAGAGGTTATATTTGGAAGAGTATTGGAAGTAGCCTCTGCAGCCGGCATGGTTGCTCCTTACATTGCACTTGCAGTGACGTTTCGAGGTTTTCGGGGCGAAATGAAACCCTAGTGGCTAATACGTTAACAACATTCTGTAAGAGGTCGTAAATCTAACATGGCATTACAAGAGTCAATATGTGAGAACGTTTTGATGATTGATAATAGCGTATATGTGGCTAACTTGTGAAACTTGATCAAGTTTTAACTGAGAATTGTCAAATCGTATCGGTTGGTGTAGTGGAAAAGTCAGCAATACGATATTTTCTGCTGAAATCGTAGTTCATCCGTTTTAAAAACGTCAAAATTCGTCCATTCTGATAAGATATTTTATCGGTTAGGCCTCCAATACAGTCAGCCTTACAACTATTGGGCGAAGGCACGTTGGATGGTGTTTGTTAATTCTGTGAGTGAATGACAATTGACAGGGAGTGGTGGTATGCAGGCAGGCAGGCCCCACCTCCACCCACCCACCAACTTTGTTTCCATGTTGATGTGCATGGCTATGGATTGGGATAGGACTTAGGAGAATGGAGACGGAAAGATTGAGTGGCTGATAGACTAGTTCAAGGTGGAATTTAGACCGACTAGTATAGTGAAAATTGTGTAGTGGCAAGAAAATAGGGGGTAATGGCAGACAGTGAGTATAAAGAAGTCATGTGGTTTGGTTTGGTTTGCCTTGGCCTGGTTGTAGTAAAACAAATTCGTTGGTTGTTGCGCAAATCCAAACAAAGCAAATGAGCAGTAATAGTCAGCTACTTGGATTGGTGAAGGCTGCTTTTGTTGTCTTGTTGCTGCTGTCGACCATAATAAATTTGTATTTAGTATTTACCTTTTCTTCCTCCTTCCAAGTTGAAGATCAAAAACCAAACCCACCACCAACAATAAAAACCCAACTGTTGATTTGGTTGGGAATAGATAGGGAGTGCTAACGTTTAAACTTGTATAAAGGCATGCTGCTTATGGAACGGTGGTTCGATGGAGTAATTTTCAGGAAAGACAACCCGTTTGTCAGTGATAAATTATTTAGTTAATGGAGTTGGGGGGGAAAATCAATATCACCATGAAAAGTGTAGGAGTGGGTTCAATTATTTGAGCCACCCACTAGATAGAAGGGGATGCGATGTACAGTGCAATGCCATGGGGCGGCATGGCATCGTTGTAAAGAAGCATATTTGTACACACAAGTAGTTGTTGCAAAATTAATCTGCTAGTTTGGTCTTAGCACTCAGCTAAAGTTAACTTAATATCAAAACTGATTAAATTTAAAGAGTGATTGTTGTTTGTAAGACCAATTTAACCGTGTTACCTCTATGAATACCTCCTCGTCGTTGAGCTCCTAAACATGACATCACTCTAAAGGGTCGGTGCGAGCATCCCAACCCATCAAGTATTGGTGTAGCATGACATCACCCTAGATGGTTATTGCACCTCCACCAAGCATTTAGATGTCAGGGGGTTAGCGTGAGTATCTCTTACTAATACCCTACACGTATGATGTCACCTAGGAATGGCAATGGGCAGGTCCGGGGCGGGTTTCTTGGTACCCAGACCTGCTCCATGGCAGGTCGGGTCCATGTCAGGTAATTGATCACGGGTCGCGGGTCGGGGCAGGTCGACCCAAAAGGTATGCAATTTATATTAAAAACATTACAAATATTCGTTATTTTTATTATAAGACTAAGAAAACAAACAATATTATGACAATTGTAGTTAAATTATTGGAGAAATTGAGATTTTCACTAATTTACAACTTTCTTATAGCTAAAATATGATGCAATAAAAGGAAAATCCTAAATAATTTGACTAAGATTACATGTAATTTAGACAAGAACGGGTCGAGAATGGGGCGGGTCAGGGCAGGTCGGGTCGATGAGACTACCCATGCCCGCCCCAAAACAAGTCAAACAGATCGGGTAAAACAGGTCAGGTCGAAATTGCCATCCCTAATGTCACCCTTAAAGGATAGTGTCATTCATCAACCCCGGCCACCCAAGTACATAGGTGTCAAGCACGATGATGGAAATCGGGATATGGGGCGTCGATAATCGAGTCAAATAGTTGTAATCGAGCTGGATATTACTATTAGGGGTTTGGGCAGATTAGGGAATATAATTAGGGATTGATAGGAGATGCCTAGAGAAGAAGAAAGGGATGGAAGGGTCCAACTATGGTTGATGGAAAAAGAGGGACGAGAGAAGAAAGTTGGCCGAGTTTCAGAGAGAGAGAGAAGTGAGTAGGTTTTAGGGAAATTATTTTTCTGATTAAACTTACTAATCCAATCCATCATTTACAATAATTTCCTTAAACTACGTATGTTTAACTCTTAATGCTAAAGTTTCAAATAACTACTACAAAAAATTCCCAAAAATGTATCACAATATCCAAATTATAACCAAATCACCCAAAATCATAAATGAATATCCAAATGTGAAAAGTGATGGAGACCCAACTTTATCGTTCCCTCTCCTTGAGAGCAACCTTAACTTTAAGGGTGAGTCGGCACCTCCTAATTTTCCTTCTCTTCCTCGCCAACCAATTTTTCAGCCTCATCCTCCCAACTTCCCATGAACAACATTAGGTGGTCATCGGTAAACTGGTTTCCTACCATGTACCTCTCATTGCAGTTGAAGCAACGACCATCTCTATGCCTACTTAATTCTTAATGCTAATATACCAAATAAGTTTCAGAAATCCCCCAAAATGTAACACAATACCCAAATAACAACCAAATGCCCATAAAGCATGAATGAATATCCAAACGTGAAAAGTGATGGAGGCTTAGGGGTCGTTTGGAAGTTGCGATTTTTAGATAGATGTATTGTTCTGAATACATGTATTGTTGAATTTGATGCATTGTAAAATACAACATTTGGTATGTGTGATTGTGTATGTCACATTGGTTAAAAGCTGAGATACAATAATCACTCATTTTGAGTGATAGTTTCTATCACATCACAGTAACAATCGGTTTATTGTGTCTGCTAAAAAAAGATTCATTCTAATTAATACAAGAATAGTAACAATCTCACAAATCGCAACTTCCAAACAACCCATTAATTTTCATCACATAACTCATCCAGTAAGGGTAGGTATGTCAAATATGCACCCTCGCCCCAAAGGCAAGTAGTCAAACAAGATAGGCCCCATGAGTATAATGCATGGTAATTACCCAATATGGCCATAACAACTCTAAGTGTCACACATGCACACTCTCACATGGTAGTAAAACCGACTTATGTGTCAAGCATGACATCATACAATGATATCAACTTGGATATCACTAAGTCATCTGGCATCAGGTACTGCCAAAGTGGTCACCTCTATCTTGTAATGGTGACCATAGTTATTATGAAGACACCCTAAGTGTGATACCTCTCGCATACATCCTTTAGCTATATAAATAGGAGAAATTAAAATTGAAAATGTTTCACAAAACCACAATTTGACACCTCATGTCAAGAGTTATCGTTTCTCTGTAATCTAGACATAGTCATAACATTTAGGTTGGAGCTCTCACTGAATCTCCAATGGAATAAGAGTAACTTAGCTTGTTCTCATAAATGCACCACAATAATAAAACACCTTTATTTGAGCTTTTCTTCAAGAGGTGTGAATTGTGTTCTCCCGAAAAACATTTGGCAGCTAAGCTTGAGTCCTAGGTGATGGTCAAACTTCATCGACTTGATTTACAATTTAGTGATATTTTTACAAGGTTTAAGTTTAACAATCGTTAGGGTGTTAATGATTCGAGGCGAGATGAACTTTGCTATGGTTTGGGCTCTGTTCGTTACAATAATTTCAAATTCGAGCTATACTAGGCAAGTTTGAGCTCGACTCGTTTCCAAATATAAAAGCTAATGCTCCGCTCGTCATATGTGTTTGACGAGCAGAAATTGTGTTCGGTTGATAAATTGTATATTGTAACTCAAGCTCGAGTTTGAACTCAACTTAAAATCACATTCTGTAGTCTTTCGAGCTTGTAAGCGAGCCTATCGAGGATTCGAGATGAACATGTCATTACTCGAACGCGACTCATTAATTGACAAGCTTGTTCATGAGCCGACTCAATTAAAGATGAGTCGAGTGTCGAATGATTTTTTTCTCGAATTGAATACCGACTCGTTCATTAGCGAATTGATTAATTAACAACCCTATCAATAGTGAAAGAATTTTCGTTCTATACCGATCAACGTAATAAAAAGTAAAAAGGACTAAGATTTGAAAGTAGAGTAGAGTGACTCACCACCCCACTCCCTTCCCTTTCCCCACTCAATCATGTTGCGTTTGACATTTTAACAGTTTTCTAGTTTACTAGTTACTGTTGCTTACAACACAGTGTGTCCGGCCGAACATCCTAGTCCTAATCCTACGCTCTGTACAAAAAGCAAGCTCACCATATCTAGCAATTATCATGAATCTAGTAATAAAGTTATTTTCCCACCCACTGGATTGAACAATATTAGTGTCTTCATAAAGTTAGTAATGAGTTAATTAGACCAAGTCCTTTGTATTTTTTTTTTTTTGAAAGGGTGTTCATTAAGAATACGACTGGGCCAAGCCCAAATGGAGAAATACAAGTAGAAATGGTGACCAGACATGAAAATCTACAACAAAGAGGCAAAAAACATGCGGCCCAGAACCCAATAGGGCCCGGACCCGGGCCTAAAAAGGTATAGACTCCCAAACCCTAGCCGCACATCCCCACCCCTCTGGAACCGGCGCCGCCGCAGTCGAAAACCACCACCGCCGTTAAGCCACCCCACCGACGTCGCCACCGCCGCCAAGAACCAAAACAGGAGAGCGATTCTCGCCTACCTCGGAAGGAGGACTGAGGAAGTGAACCTCCCACCAACCCACCCCGAGCCAGTCGCCTTCATCCTCCCGCCGATTGAACCCGGGAAAACGTCATCCGACAGGTCGACGACGAAAGAACCAGAGGGAAAGGTACTTCTGTCTTCAAGCTTTCCCCTCCGTGTCCGACGCCAGTGGCTACATCTCCGACTAACCAAGATCTGCAAGGAAAGACAAGGAGGTAGACATGGGAGAGAAAAGGAGAAGACAAGCCAGATCAGGAATAGATCTGGCCTCCATCGCATCTTAGATCAGGTAACCATCTCCAGATCTGGGAACCAGATCGGAGGACAAAAAACTCAACCCACCAGAGGGGGGAGGAGAAGAGACCCACCAACGGGCGAAAACAGAGCCTGGAAATGGCTGGAAATAGCAAAAGCTTGAACAAAAAAG